CGATGGTCGTTGTTTTCTGTTTCCTCTTCTCAGACAGCCAGCGTCGAGGTGATCTCGTCGAATCGCCTGTCTCCCTGCAATAATAGCCATGCCTTTCCCCATGAACCTTAACCAAACACGCCCCTGCATACCGGCTAGAAGCCTCAATATGCGTCAGGGCCCCTGCTCGCTCAAATCTTGTCGTGCCTTTTTTGGGGGGATTGGCTACCGGATGAGCCGACGATCCATCAGCGCAGAGAAAAGGTGATTTGGTCTCTCTCGAGACTGGCTGGATCACTGACCGACCGACTAGGCAAGAGGAGGGATCTCCTTCACAGGTCTCTGCTGACATATGAGCGAGTCACTCCCAGCCACATACCCGTCTTCCATCCCATCCCAAGTCAGAGCCTGAACAGTCCCCAACAAGCTAGGAAAGCTTGACTGCGTTCGAGATGAGAGCTGTTTTGCTTGGCGTCTTCCATCTGCTCTCTGTCGCTTTAGCCGCGCCTGGGTTCGAACGACATTCAGCTTTCAAAGCCTTGCACCCCGACAGCTTCTCTGAATCAGCGAACTTGACGGCAAGACCGTTCGACAAGAACTGTGAGTCCAACAAGTCCAGCCTAGGCTTGACGATACATAGCACTGACGGGTTTCAATCTTGGTACGCAGACCATCTGGCAAAGGAGGCGAGTGGTCATGACTGCTATGCGTCGATCTACTATGGGGTCAAGTCCGGATGCTCTGTCGAGTCGGATATGAGCCCGCACGAGCGCATGCTAGGTGAGGAACACTGCCAGATGGACGGTAGGATGGCTGACAAGGTGCTTGAACTGACACTCCAATGGTTTAGCTTCTGTTCAGCTCACACTGTGCGATCTGCAGGCGTCGAGCCAGAGCGTACCGTGGGAGTGTCAGTCGCCGGACCACGACATGCAGGCCATTGGTCTCGCCAGCTGCGTCGAGTGAGTTGTAGACAGATAGGACACGATCAGCAGGCAGCAAGCTAACTTTGGTGGGGTTTCGGATGTCGAAGGGCTCTTTCGAGAAGCACTCGGCTCTGGTCGAGCTACGCAGGGTACCTGCGCGAGATCCCGCAGATGTGTTTCGCGCTGCAGCGGTGGAAAGACATAGGTAGGTGCGCCTCGCCGCAATCTTGGAGGGGCCGACGACCACATTGGCTGACACTTGGTGGTAATAGATGCGGCGAGGGCTTTGTACAGGACTGCGGTTGAGGAGAATGTTGAGCTCAGCAGGCTGTGGCAACAGCACGCACACGACAGTGCAGAGGCCGTCAAGGAGGAAAGCCTCGCTAGGCACGACTGGATGCGACAGGCGTCACAGCTTCAGGACCAGGTCAGAGAGGTTCTGCTGGTGAGTCGTCGTGGCGACAAGGCCCTTCATGTGCACTCTGCAAGGCTGACGCAGATAATGCGATGTATCGCCAAGCAGAACGTGCTCTCCGACATGACGAACAACCAGGAGAAGTACAGCAATGAAGCGAAACAGGTGCTCCAGCTGATGCGCCAGGCGGAAGTGAGTGCGAAGGAGCAAACATACGGCATATAGCGTTGTGACGACTGACCGCACGTCCTTCTGCAGACTGGCCTAGAGGAGACTGCGAGATCACTGCTCCGTTCTCACACCGAAGCTCATTTGCAGCACCTCGAGGGGCTGCAACAGTCGGTACGTCGGATAGCTTCACCTTAGCATCCAGATAGCCCTTACTGATGACCAGCGTAAGGGTCTTGACGAATGGTCTAGCTCGAAGAAGCGATGAGTCGGTATGAGCTTCGCTTTGAAGCCACAGCTGAGCGCATCTCCAGCGATGCGTCTCGCTCGATAGAGACGCGCCTAGCAAGTCCTCTCGGTACGATGCAGGATCTCGTTGGTGTGCTAGACGTGCAGACGACCTCCCTCGGCCACTCGGTGCAAGAAGAGCGCGATCTCCTTTCGGCACTAGGCGAACTCCATCGGCAGATCGAGATGCAGCATCAAGCGCATGACGCTCAGCTGGGTGCCGGTATCGCCGCGCTGCAAAGTGTCCAATCCGACCTGCACAGGCTCGGGACTGCCATGAATGCGACGCACGATAGCGTCGCGGCGATGCTCGTCTCGCAAACGCCGGGGACGAGATGGTTCAGCGTGGCGTTTGCACTGGAAAGAATCGTGCTCTGGGCATTTCGTGCCGTCGAGGGAACTGTTGGGCTTGACACCGAGAGTTGGGCCGGACAGTGGTGTAGGTGGTTGCTGCTCGTATGGCCGCTCTCGCTCAAAGTCCGGGCGTGGATGCAAGCGTGTGCGCCCGTATGCAAGGTGCTTGTATCCGGGCTGGTGTGCATCTCGATGCTGATCAAGGCGGCCGTAAGGCCTTACTCATTTGCAACGGTAAGCATGCTATTGGGAATCTTTGCACTAGCGCACAACAATGCTCACTTCGTCCTCTTGCAGGCTCACCTCGGCACATCGAGACATGCAACCAAAGTAAAGGATGCGCATATGGACGACAAGCACAGTGTGCGCGTGGCTGTTGGCCGCCCGTCGAAGGGCGGTAGACGTGACCGCACGTTGCGCCCCTCGCGCATCCACTGTCCCTCGGCGCAATGACACGCGACACTGCCACAGCTGAAGATGATGTTTGAAATGGATGAAGGTTGAGAGACAGCTAGTGTTACAAGGATGCAGAGAGGCACGAGGGAGAGGGGGTCATGTGGAGCTGATGCGGTGGTATGCGGGTGATGCGACCTCGTATTCCCTTGCAAAGAGGCGGTGTTTCTCGCGCGCAATGTAGGCGAGGAACTCTGCGAGATGGTCCTTTAGCAGGCTGATGGATTCGGTATCCATGGAGGTATGCACGATGATCGAGGGCAGATTGACAAAGAGGCGCAGCAGGTGTTCTGCGCCGTACACATCACTCGGCTCCATGTCGCCGCCCATGGACCCGTTGCCGGAGCGTGCATTGCCGACATCGCCGTCGCCCATCTTTGGACCGTTCTTCTTGCGGTAGTCTACGTACTGTGCGCGTTCGAAGCGGTAGAGCAGATTCTGGCCGAGCGAGCGGTCAAAGTAGAGCTTGAGGCCCTTGAGTACCTCGTCGACGACGTGCGGGGAGCGTTTTGCGCCGTCGCGCTTGTGTGCGAGGTAGTGCTTCTTGTAGTCCTGCAGGATGTCCTTGACACACGGCTTGCGTGGCAAGGGAACGAGCATACCGTTCTTGGTGATGTTCTCCCAGTCGTCGACGAGCTGCAGCTTGAGTTCATCGGGCAGGGAGATCTTGACTTCGGGGCGTTTGAGAAAGTCGTCTTCGGTCTCGACCGTATCTCTGCTGCGCTTTGTCGCGCGTGCCGAGGAGGCGGGTTTGCGATCGTGTGCATCCGAATCGCGTCCGCGCTTGGCGGTGCTCGACGACGACTTTTCCGCTCCCGAAGAGCTGAGCGATCCAGCCTTGGCCGCTTCTTCCAGCGTCGCCTTGCGTGCCAGGTTCTCGTCGTTGTACTTGAGCAGACGCGTCTCGGGCACCCATTCGTCCCAGGTCTTCTTCCAGCCATCGTAGTGGACGAGGTAGTGCGGACCCACTTGGCCGGTGACGTTGTCGTCGCCCGTCCACTTTTCCGCCTTGAGCACCTTGGCCGAGTAGATGAGCGGGCCGTGGAAGCAGAGCACCTTCTCTGCGTCAGTATAGAGCATGGTCGGCGAGTCGTGCACCCAGCGTGTGTGGTGCGGCAGATGGGTATGTCGACGAGCGCCGTGTGGGTGGAGAAAAGTGGTGCAAGGCGTGGTGGAGTGTGGGTGTGGCCCGTGGGTGGGATTGCCGGACCCTGCGAGGCGGAGGCGAGGCGGATGCAAGCTTCTCGAAATCGTCTGGTGTCGCGACTCCAAGGCGCAAAGAGGCCGAGCTAGACGCCATGGCCAAGAGGCGCGTCTCGACATCCTTCGACCACATTCGCACGAAAGGTCCGCCCCCCCTTTTTTTCGAAAAGCGAATCTGTACATTGGCACTCGGCCTCACATTGTCCGAAATTAAGCCACGAGCTTTGGGGAGGCGGGGAGGCGACGCTGGCGCGTGAAAAGGAGCGTGGTGCAGCGGCGAATTCGAGCGCAACGGCCGGCGAAACTGTCGCTGGACGTAGCCGACCTGCGGAGAAGCATGTGTATGGGAGCGGAAGTTGCTGCCCAAGACAAGCCGCCCATTGTTCGTTCCTGACGAGCCGAGCGCAGTGTAGGGAGGCTGCTGACGTTGTCATGGACATCGGCTCGGCAGCAGGAGCAAGTTTTCAGACAGTGAACCCGCCCGAGATGCACGTCGGATGCCGCCGACGGGAGAGCACCCGGTTTTTAAGACTCGTCCCCCTCGCCGAGGGGCTGGCTGGCTGGTCCGATATCGATAGCGACAAGCAGCATGGCGTGCAGCAGCATGAGTTCGAAAGCAAATCCCACGCCATACCGCCTCGCCATCGGCAACACGTCCGGCTGGAATGGAACCGGAAGTGTCAACGATCACTTGGACCAGCTCGTGTGGGTCGTATCGACCCGAGACGGCCAAAGCGAGCGGGATCAGTGGTGGTGACCTGAACGTCATGACGATTCCAAGTGTGGGAAGTGGGGGAACCTGTCGGTCTTTCTTTCCCTCTCACGCGAGTGAATGAGTGGACAATGATGTGCGGGGCGGCTCCCTAAGAGCGGGGCAAGCGCGGTCAAGCAATTCAGCCGCGCCGTGAAACTCGGGCTCGCCTAGCATTCATACCTTGTCGAAGCCTCGGAAGCGGGCCAATCCGGGCCGTGGTCTCAAGAACACTCGATGGCTTGTTGCTGCCAAGAGAGCTGCCGAGAGCAGTGTCAAGTGAGCCAAGTGGGTCAAAATGAGTCGACGTGGCTTGGCAGCTTCGTGAAGTGGCAGCGAGCGGGCGAGCCGCAAAGGCCTGCAAATGCGAAGAGCTAGCCCAGCAGCAGCAGCAGCAGCAGCAGCAG